CTGTATGGCTCGGGAAGCATCTGATCCAAGATGATGGACTTTTTTCAGCCGTAAGAACATCCTGTTGCTGGCACACACGGACTCCTCCTTCCAAGTCCGGGCGGTGCTCTCCCGCAGCGCCGCAGTACTTGGAAGGATTGTTCATGTCCTCCGAGAAGACCTTAAAACGGATGGGCGCCCAGCCAGACACAGAGGCAGTCAACACCTGCGTCCCGCCACGCCCCCGGCTCGGTAATTCACGCACAACTGCCCTCATCGGGGGCGCATGCTTGCGAGAAATGCGGTCAAATATGCAGCGATGCTCGGCGGTGGCAAAAGAACTGGTGAAGCAGCAGAGCAGCAGCAGCAACAGGACGTGCAGAGTGTGGCGCATTCTTCGTGTCTTTCCTTTGCGTGGCGTCTCGTTCCCTTCTTTCCTTCTGTGCTTCACTTGCTTATTGTGTCGTTTTACTCTGATTCGTGTCTAGTGTGAGGTCGAGGACGCCAAAAAAAAAAGAGCTCGCATCTGGCGCGCCGACGGGCACACACGCACGCGCACCAAAAATGGCCACGGCCAAGGCGTGCCCGTAGCCACCCGCACGCCCAGAGGCGCACACGACGGAAAACGAGGCAACCAACACCGTCGGCAGCGCGTCGTCCCCATTTCTGCTGCGTGAAGTGGTGCGCAGTGAGGTGGGGGCGTGCGGCCTGCGCGCGGGCGAAAAAACACCACCGCAGCGGAAATCGGGTCCCCCGCAGCAGAAGGCAAACCCTTTCGCTGCACCTCAACCACTCACGCTCACACACCACACAGTTGACCCCCGCAAGCAGCATGGGGGCAACCAACCACACTCCGCAGCCAAACGCCTCAGATGCCCCCTCGCAAAGGGTGTCAGGCGTAGCCGGAATAGAGAAACAAGGTGCACAGCAACGCACCATCAGACCCTCGTACGGCCCGTCGCACCCACACGATTCAACGTTTTCTGCCCAGTCGCAGTGAAACTTGTCTGCAAACAAGCAACAAAAAAAAGGGGGAGGAAGGGCCCTTCGGGAATTTCCCCGGCACCAAAATGACCTCGCCGCCAACACCTCCTCCTCTCATCGCCAAAAAGCTGCCGCCGTTAAGAGCACAGCCACAAAAGCACCGCCTCTGCCCCGCCGTCCGCGACACTGGGGGTGTCGCACAGACGCGGTGGGAATCCCGGCAGGGAGCACGCCTGTCACAGCCCACACGGCGACACGCATCGCCGGAAACTCCTTTCCTCACGACCCCGCCGTTCCCTCTCGAAGACACCCGCCCTCCACCCACGGCATGAAGCAATAGAAAAGACTCTCCAAGTCAAAAAAAACTGGAAAAAAGGGTCTTCTTCCAGCACGTTGCACACCGAGCGCAGCCCTATGCACGCGGCACCGCGCGGCGGCTGCCCCCACTCAGCGTCCCTCGCCAACAGTAGCGCAATTTGTGCCTCGCCGCGCCCCGCGGAGAGAACCGCCGATGGCAGCGAGGGTGCACTGTGGAACCCATGCGGGCCTTGGAGTCTCCGTCGTTGCCGGCAAGCCCTCGAGCAACACAAAGCGCGCCCTGGCGCCTCCTCACCCACGCCGCTTCCAAGCCACGGCGCCTCTCCCCACCTTGAACCCTCCTTGTAAAATCCGCCGGCATCGATGTCTGGCGTTCGCTCCGCGACAAGGATGGAGAGAAGCAGTGCAGACGCCGCGCCTCTCGCCGAGAAAACCTCGACGC